ATGTGCGTTGGATACTACAGGAATTATGGCTGAATGGTTTAAGGGACTAATGTCCGAGTTACCTATATTCAGCAAGCCAATTCCACCTATTTGTTTGCATTGTGATAGTATGAGTACAATTGCAAAAATTAGGAGTACCAAGTATAATCAAAAGACTAGGAGACACATTCAAGTTAGATTAAAAACTATAAGGAAATTTGTGTCTCAAGGGGTGTTTGCTGTTGATTTTGTTGGATCCAAAGATAATACAGCGGACCCGTTAACAAAAGGACTTGATTTAAATCAAGTGATAAAATCAAGGTTAGGAATGGGACTGAAACCCAATAATTATTCATCTACGGTAGCAACCCAACCTATCTGAGTGGAGATCCCATAAAGTAGGTTCAATGTGGTATAAACAAATCGTAGAGTGAATTGTGCATCTCATTAAAATATTTTGAGTTCTATTCCTTGATAAGCCTTAGAGATGCTGAAATTGCTAGGTTAGTAAGAGTTAAAGACTCTGAATGGGATCGAGCTTTAATAGCAGAGTGTTAGCAATGCACTCTTGGAGATGCCCAACTATGAGAATGTTATTGTGTGGCCGCAATAAGAGAATAAGGGTTAATTCTTGATGACATTCTTGAGACAGGATCAGGACGCATGGCCGTAAAAGCGTCACCCCTATAGATCGTTGCCATTGCCGCTAGTGCGTTGCTTTTATCCCACGCCAACACAATCAAGGTTCGAGTTCAAGAACTCTGTTCACTCAATTCCTGTGGGGGTAAGGGGTAAAAGCTTAGAATTTGGTTCAAACCGGAAGGTACCATATTTAAAAGCACACTATGTCTTAGAGTTGAGTCTACAACTATGGATTTGTGGGGGATTGTTGGAAATATGATGGAAAAATATATATTTTAGGGGGACTCATCTATGAGTCCTGAGGATAAATGTATAGAGTATGATTTGGAAATGATTTATTATACATCAAAGTACAACTTTCATGATTGGATTATAATTAATAAAATAATCCATAGTTGTAAAGGTGGTAAAGTGATGTTTTAATATGATAAATTTTTTGTCGCTTATAAGTAAAAGCTACCGTTGTAAATTATTTTATATGATAAGGAACATTGTTCAAGTATCATTTAAAATGTATCAAGGAATTGCTTGCGTTTTGACAAAAATTATGACTTGCTGAATCTGAACAGTTTTATTTTAAATCATAAAATAAAACGTGCAAAGCAGTATTCAATTTGGAATTCAAAATTGAAATACGATGCTTGGTCCTGCGTTACATCCATACATATCTTAATGGTGGTTAATGTAGAGGTTTGGATGAGCATTAAAGTGGTTTTCCGTTTCATGCTTTGAAATTCTGATTTCCGTTGAACTATTATTCCCCTACCTCCTTATTCCGTTAGATGAAGTATAAAGGCCACTTCTGCATATTGCTTTGTGGAGAGCTCTTACACACAAAAGAATAGAAAACATCCTTTCTCTATCATTTTCTTTAGATCATCATACATTCATACGTAAATCATTTTTTGATTTGAGTGGGTCTTTACTCCACTAGTTTGTCCATTCCAAGAGTACGTATAATTTATATATTATACTTTCATAAGAGTTCAAGTCAACTCTATTTCTTGGCAAATTTGGCAACGGTCGAAGGTTTCAGTCAAGGTAGCTACGAGTCTGAAACGTGGTAGGATTATCCTGGGAGCGAGCTAGCCAGACCCGTCCGAATAGCTATCGGGATACGAGGGCTATCTTTCTTCAAGGCCAGTCCGTTTTAACGGACGATCCTGCGATAAGTTTTCTTATCCTTACTTTCTAATTATTTTAATTTATACTAATTATTATTATTTTCTTTTCTTGCATTTGGCGGTTTGTCTGGTGATTTGTTTAAACTCGGGATTTTTATCTGGTTAAACTCGCATTTTAATATCATTTTTCTAACAGTTTTTTGTTGAAAAGAACCAGAAAGCTTGTGCTATGTTAAGTCTGTAAAAAAAATACTCTTAGAATATTAATGAATTGGAAAAATAAACACATTTGCTTGAATGGTAACAAATTCATGACTACATCTTGAAGGAAAAAAGGACCAGCCATCAGCGGAAGTAATGCTGGTTGAAGAAAAGAAAAATATCAATCGATGGAGATGTTTTGGTTTTTTACTAAATCAGATGTAATGATTAAACGATTAATAAATTCATGACTGGATTGAGCACCGATGCGCCGCTGGGGCACTGTAAAATCCAAAGAAGTTTTGCAGGTCTCAAATGCAAAAAGATTTAATCATTAGAATTAAATTAGATGCTTGGTCATTACGTAGTATTGTTTTATTTATTATACGGAGTAGGTTTTACATATCCATGTGTATTATTTTTAGTGGGCATCAAGTTACGGTACACTCTTAAACAACAAAGGTACCATAGAAACACGAGGCGCTATGCCGTGGTATCATCCCACGATGAGGACCATACTCCTGCTCTTAAAACGATGTAGTTTTGCACAACTTTTAATTAAAAAATTTCACGCGTGAACAGTAACACGCGTGAACAGTAGGTTTTAATTTTTTATTTTTTGTCCCAGTATTATCGTGATGTAACTCGCGTGTAAAGAAGTGTAACTCACGTTGATAAGAAATGTAACTGTAGGTCAGTTAAAATGTAACTTATCCAATACGATGCCTAAGAGATGAAACATTGATTTCAATTTAAACAATGAAAAAAAAGAGTAACTACACAATTACTTTACATAAATTGTGAATATGTTTTGTTTTTAATATCATGACCATCACAAGGATTTTAAAAAATCAAATTTTTTGTTTCATGTAACTCAATACATGATTTATTTATGTAACTCATGTTATTACAAGTGTAACTCGCGTTGATGACAAATGTAACTTGCGCTTTAGAAGATGTAACTCGCTTATAAAATAATGTAACTTAAGCATAAAAATATGTATATGTAACTCACATAAATGAATATGTAACTTCATACCATTAGAAATGTAAATATTTTTTAACAAAAATGTAACTTTTTAACCCAAATCTACTTTTCAAGAAACTAGCAGGGCTGCCCAAAAAAAGAGAATCAGAGAGCATTCTTAAAAAAAAAACAGAGCACTACGGAGCACTTGAAACGGGCCAGCAAGAGAGCAAAATAGAGGTGACCGGGCTGGAGCTCCTCGTCGGTGCTGATGGCGGAAACGTCGTCGGAGTTGCAGATGAGAACCGTGGGGTCCTGAAGGAGATTGGAGGCTTTGATGGGGAAGGGAAACTGTTGTAGCTCCCATCTTCAAGAATCAACTTCGCCATGGGAGGTGACTCAGTTTGGTGTAGTGAGTTGAACTCCTTTCTGGTAGCGATTCCAGCAATGAAGGGAAGAGGAGAAGCGGTCTAATTGTGTGGTTTAGCTAAATCCAAATCTGATAGGGCACGAATCTGCAAATCTGAAGAAAGTCGGTCATTTTTAATAATCAAACGGCACCGTTTGGAATCTGGAGCACCATGCTCACCGTGGGATGATCCCACTGTATAATTTGCTTAGAAACACCCTATTATATACGACGATAGTATTAATTAATAGATAAGGAGAGTGGTAGCAACATGCTAATAGGGGTAGTTGTTTCTAATAGTTGCTACTATTTAACGTTGTCATTAACGCTGGGTATTATTATCACTGCCACTTAGGCTTTGTTTGCAACCACTTCTGCTTAAATAAAAGTACTTTTGGGGAAAAAGTGATTAGTAGTAAAAATTGGTAGTGTTTGGTAAAATAAGTGCTTTTTGTGTAATAGAAAAAGTAAAAAGTAGATTCTACACGAAAGCCGAGAAAGTAAAAGTTGGTAGTGTTTGAAAAGTAAGTGCTTTTTTCTTAAAAAAAAAAGTTAAAAGTACTTTTTTTAATGGGTTGCAAACAAACCCTTATAGTGGGTGCTAATGTCTAGCCGCTGCCAATGACAGTTGCTACTATTTATAACTGACGTTGGCCCATTGGCCAGGGACGGATCCAGGATTCTGAGTCAAGGGGGGCAAAATTTTTCGTTAGTGTAGTGGGTGAATTTTTTTTTGTTAGTGTAGCGAGGTGAAAATTTCCCCCTAGTGTAGCGGGGCGAAATTTTTTCGTTACTGTAGGGCTATGCAGCTACTTTTATTCAAAAAATGACATTAATACATGCACATCCCGAGCGGCATTTAAATCTATTACATTCTAAGTTTAGAAGATGACAAAAACATCAACCAATTAATAACTTCTACATTGTTTAACCTCATGAATCGGTTATTGAATTGTAATTTTTGTCTACCAAGGAGGGTGTTCGTGAGTCATGACTCATGAGAAGTTTTCTTAATATTACAATAGTAGTATACTAGTATGTATGTGATTCTTATTTTTAGAATAATATGCACCACATACACACACACATATATATATGGTGCATATTATATTTTAATATTTTTTTATTAATTCTATAATAATTAAAGTTTATTATCCATGCAATAAATTATTTTTAGAAAGCAAGAAGTAAATGAATTATGTAATCTAATGTCTATAAATATTTATATTTTGGATTCATTTCACGTGATCTAAAAATTGTGTAATTAGTGTGTCTGATATTTAATATTGTTTGATATATGTTTTACAAAATCCAGTACTTGTTATCTAATAAAGATAATTAAACATTACAAAACTAGGAATTCTTATATAATAAGTATCCTAAATCTTAAATAACGAGTTACTCTATTATTTATTTGTTTAAGTTAAGTAAATTAGTTTAGATGTTTCTTCTTTTAAATCTCCAATTAAGTATTACATTATGTAAGACTATATACTAATTTTGAAAATTAAAAGCTAAGGGGGGTGAATCTAATTAAATTATGAAAGTTTTATGAAAATATTACATATATGGTAAAAAAAATTGAATGTCCAAGGGGGGCGGTCGCCCCCCGCGCCCCCCCTAAATCCATCCCTGCCATTGGCCAATGTCTAATAACTTAGTGAAACTTTTTGCACATGAGAATTTGGTGAAGTAACTTCTTGCAGTTTATTCTGTTATTATTACTCTGTAGTATAATGTAAGATCCCAAAATAAGTTACTGAAATACAACTTGAATAGTAGCATTCAGTGCTTTGCCTAACAAGGGTCACGGGTTCCCCTTTAGATCTCTTTACATATGAAACCTCTTGAGTAAACAAAAGGAAAGGTTGATCATCATCATCAGCAACCCCGTCTTGATTCAATCACCACAAGCAGCGTCATGCATTAGTTGTTTCAATCCTATGTTTCATTTCATTGCAGCATTACAAGCTTCGAGTTTCAAAATCACATGCAACTACTTTTTGAGTACCATAGCTGTTATATCGGTTTAGGGACTTTGTATTTCTAGAGTTGCCTGAGAAGAACCTTGAGATACTACCTTTCCTTTGCAATCTGTTCTCATAGTTCTGCAACCTGCAGATACAAGAACCACTCTTTGAGTAAGTGAATCAATTTGTGGTTTTGTGCACAATCAATGTGTGTTTCTGATTTCCCAAAGTGATCAATTAAAAAAGGAGCAAAGTGTCAATTGGGTCCGAGTTTGTCTTCAGTAGAGTAAATAGTACATGAACTTGCATAGGAGCTCATAGAGTACTTCAACTTGTCTTTACTGGAATAAAGAGTACGTTAACTTGAAATATAGTTATGAAAGTACTTCACCTTGTTTCCATAGTTGAATAAAGAGTACATGAATAGATCCATCAAATATAGACGGACAACTTAGGATAAACAATTTAATGATTTATTAAATTTTAGTTAAAACTAATTAAAAATTGAAAAAGTTACAAAAATATGAAACAATTTATAAAATTAATTGTTTATTTTTAAAATGTATTTGACATTTGTAATATTTCAATTGAAAAAAGTTGAAAAATATGAGATGGTTTGTTAACATTTACTCTTTACTCCGTTAAACAAGTTGAAGTAGGTAATACACTCTAATATAAATGGGTGTACTCTTTCATCCTTAATGTTTACAATTAAAACAAATTTGATTATTTGACTGCTAATTTTATCAAATGTTTCATGATTCCTAATTTGATAGTACTTTAACATATGTTCAACTGAAATCTTACAAATGTTAAACACATTTTAAAAAAATACAATTATCTTGTAAAAAAACTAAGATTTTTAAACCTTTTTCATTTTGAACTAGTTTGAATTAAAAGTTAACAAATCATTAAATCGTTTTTCCTAAATTGTCCATCTATATTTGACAAATGTATCATAATTCCGTTGTGAAAACAATTTGAAGTACTAAATGGGCTCTAGTGCAAGTTACTTTTTATTCTACAGGAGACATGTTAAAGTACTTTATGAGCTGCGATGTTAAAGTACTTTATGAGCTCCTATGCAACTTCATGTACTCTTTACTCTACGGAACTCAAAATCATGTACCAAAATGACACTTTATTAACAAAGGCTTTAATGTAATTTTCATCCTACAAGATATACAAGTATCATTTTCTTGTTAGTCCCTCTGTCACATCTGTTTTTTTCTCTAAATAGACATGGCTCACAGAACTCCAATGTGAATTTTCCACATTTTGAACACAAAACTGAAATTTTATCTCTAGAGCCCCAAGGCATCATAAAAAATGAAATGATGAGTTTTGTTTACGCTTAACTCTCCTAATAGCTGTAGATGGATTGCAGAAAGTGACCTGGAGAGACCAGAATCAGTTCTGTGAGCCAAATAAGTTTTTTATTAGCAGAGGTGATAGAGAAAAACTAAAAAGAAAAGAAGGTAAATAGTAGAGATGAATAACCATCTTTTTACAAGGATCTAAAGAAGGGAACTAATTTGCATAAACAAACATATATAAACCTTTAACAATTCATGTGCCTCATCCCCATCAACATTTATATAAATAGAATCTCGATTGTAATCTAGTTTCCCCACATGTACGTTTTAATCTTCTATGCATTTTGCCTGTTTATCTTAAACGCCATTACAACTGCACAACATATATCCATGCTTCACCTTGGTTGTGTTTAAAAGCTAAGACTGAAAATGTTTTTCTAGAAGCTAAGTTGTTTTATACTATCATATGTAGTCTTCCCATCGTGCCAAATGAGGTTGTAAAATGAAAGGAAAGAGAGACTCACAGACAGGGTTCAATTTCTTCTCTTTCTTGTCGCTTTCCCAAGTAAGAAACTGACACGTGTCGCACAAATTCAAGCTGAAAAGACATGGTATTGATATATTTATATATTTCAATTACACTTGTACTATATGATTTATGCTCAAGTATGAGAAAGACAACACACCTGATCGCCATCCCTGATTCCATGAAGTCCTATATGATCAGCATCAGATAATAGCTTCTCATAATCATGGCTCAAACAGAAATGTCCCCACACGTGTTGCCTGCAAGATAAAACACACTGTTTTATTCATTGATCTCCAAAACTTCAGGGGCGATGAATGTAGGAAAAATCTGAAGGGTCAAAATTAGATAATCAATTTTCGGATGAGAGAATGTGCCCTAAATCCTTAATTGATGTTAGCAGCACTCAGCCAATAACTAATCAAATGAAGAAAAAAATCAGCAAAATGGATAGACAATGTTCCCTAATTGCATGGGCTGATGGGCATATTTAGGGGTGGGAATTACAGGACTCTAACCCACCCAAGGTTGGCCAAACTTTTCCCTATACTTGTTAATTTTTTACATATAAATATTTAATTTCCAGGCCTGCGTAAAGTTGATTAAGTGGAGTACTGTCTCCACGACTCCACCCCTGCTCAGTTGATGTTAGCAAAATCCAACCATTAAGATTCAATAAATTCACCAGAAGAGATGGACAATGTTCCCTTATTGATGTTAGAAACACTAAACCAAATGACCTACCAATTTCAACAAATCTCACCAAAAGAGATACAGTAATACTAAGCCAATAACGAACCAAATGCAAAGAATTAGAGAATGTTCCGCAATTGATATAGAATACTTAACTAATAACCATTAAACTTCAATTAAGGAACGATAATGGCCTTCACTAATGTTAGAAATACTCAGCCAACAAATGAAAAATCAAAGGGATGGACAGTATTCAAGTAATTATTTCCTCAAAAGTGCAATCTTGAGACCTTGATAGTCCATACCATGAAACCCTGCAAGGTAAACGGCTAAAAGCCGCCTCCACAGCCTTCTTCAGATCCGCCACCGTCCCATTTCTGGGCACTTCAATCTCTACAATTAGAATAGTCGAAATGAAAAGAATATACCCACATATATCAATCTCTACATACACAATTCGATTGATTACAGAAAATAGAAATATAGTGATGAGTACCGAAAGAGGATCCATCCAGCTTGAGAACGGTCAGCTTGAGCGGGCGCGGGGGAATCTTGTTGTAGGAGAAGCCATTGGAGCTTTCACGGCACAAAAATTGAACCGGGCAGGACAACGACCCGTTCCGCTGGAATGTAACCATTGGCGTACTATTACCGCTTTCATCGTACACCTGCATAGTTATCCGTGCACAGCTATTGCAGCAACGTTTGAATTTGAGGACACAAAAATCAGGGAAAGAATAAATCAAACGAGTTTCTGATGTTGTTGTGAACAATCGGGATTAGGTTTAGAGTTGTGAATTGGGTAATTGATCTGAGAGAAATGGAAAGGGTGATGGGAGGAAAGAAAGGGGAGAGGGAGAGAGAGCGGAACGAGTTCCTTCTTCTCCGCTTCTCTTTCTCTCAATCCTGAAATGACAGTTATTTTGGTGGGAAAGAAGAAGAAAAAAGCGCCAAATTGTAACTTTTATTGCCAGGAGGTCTAATTGTTTTTTTAGAGACCAGGAGGGTCTAAATGAAAACCAACTTTGGACTCAAAAATGGAATTGTTTTTTGATGTAAATAACTAGATATAAATCCGTAATCACCACATAAACTTACACATTTTATGAAAAGGTGGATGAGTATCTAATGCACACTGCTGCACTAATCGTCATCACTCATCATATTGTGTGAAGTTTCACTATTGAATAGTTTAATGAGATAGTTAAATGCTTATGTTTAAACTCAAATGGGAGACATTGTAATCCGTAACAAAAATGTTAGGCAAACATAAAATGTGGAAAAAAGATTGGGGTACACAAAATTTGTACACTTGTTTGTCCCTTACAGACAAGTTGTCTATCCACTGACAACTCATCTCGAGACAGACAACTTGTCTGTGAGGGACAAACAAGTGTACAAATTTTGTGTACAAATTGTGTGTACCCCTAACTCCACCCTAAAATGTATACGCTTTTGACACACCAAATGAAAGAGGCACAAAGAGACAAAGAAATGAGCTATTTATTTGATGTGCCAAAGGTGTACCTATTTTGTGTAACTAACATTTTGTAATAAAAAATCCTATTAAGGACCAGTTGAACTCTCCAAAGGGGGAAATGAGGCCCCCTTTTTTTTAATAAACAATGTCAGAGCCACTATGTTACAATGATAGGGTGTTCATGTGAAAATTTATGTGTAGAATTAATGAAATAGTTTGTTCTTATATTTATCTAAAACTTAACTCTTTTTAACGCCATTGTTGTGCGAGAAATATATGCAGAAATTTTTGCATGAAATAGTGCTTCAAAGCAAAACTTTAATGATAAAATGATTTTCGAACACCTTAAACTTCGGTTATAAGTCTCACTTTTTACACGAGTATCTCCCATTAGAATCATAACGAGACATTTTTGTATTATATACATGGAGATTGGAGAACGATTAGAAATTTGTTAAGTTATTCACAAAACTAATACCTTATAAATCACCACCACTAATTGATACTATAACAGGCTCACATTAGAAGTAGTCATAAGTCATGCAAAAAGGAGTTCTTATCAAAGATAAGTTCACACATGAACTTCATCTCATAATTATAACTACAATTTGAATTCTAAAATTGAGATTGGAATTTGTTGATTACAACTGATGGAGTATATGGCCCAGGAACCCCCGGTCCATAGACTCCTACTTCTCCTACACAAGTCCATTGAGCCCAGAGAACATCTCTAAGAAGCCCAGAACAGGCACTGGGGCGCCTTCGGCCTCCTTGGCCGAAGTCTCCGAAACTCACAGGATAGCCTTTTTTGGGCATACGAAGCTAATGGGAGAAAACGGAGAAAAACGGGAGCCTTCGGCATTATCAAGCCCTCGGCATCAGATAAGCCTTCGGCTGAACCAAGCCTCCGGTCACACAGGGCCTTCGGCTACATAGGGGTCCTCGGTTACATGGAGCCTTCGGCTACACAGAGCCCTCGGCCGAAGGGGAAGCCTTTGGCCAACTATTTAATCGTCAAAGATTCCCTTTGGAGACAAGCAACCACCGCATTTAATGCAACGTCACATCCACCAACCGCATTCAATGCGGTGAACATGCCACTGCCGGTGCCACCCGATTGATGTGACCCTTCGGCCGTTGGATCACTGACGTGTGTACTCTCATCGCATTTATTGCTGCTATAAATAGCAGCTCTTACTCTCCTTGTAAACCACGCTGAGTTCATTTAATAAAATCGACTCTCTCTCCTCCTATTTTGCTCTGACTTCTCTCTAGTTATTCCCGCAATAACCCCTCGGATAAGATACCCCCCGGGTAGACTGTCCATCACAATGGTGCTCTCGTTGAGAGGTTGAACACAATCAAGTGAGAAAACCTCCCCAAAATAACAAATATTCACTCTATACACATTTCCTTCTTCTTCTTCATTTCTTCTCTATTCTTGTTCAATCTCTCCTGTTTATACAATATGAGTATCAATTATCCAACAACAACTTTGCTATTGGAACCTATCACAATATCTCACATGAACATCAAAATTACTCAACCATCACTTGTCTTGAATTTTATTTATTTATCTATAAACTTTTTTATTTAAATTATTTTTATATGATCAAAAGGATTATTTTTAAATTTAAATATTTTGATCTTATACATTTTGACAATATTTTAGCTAAGCAAGTTGACGTGGACTAACTACTACGGAGTAATTGACATTGGAAGCTAAACTCAATTAATTGGAGGGAACCTTGACGCACAGGTAACAGGTTACAATGTTGTCGTGGGCTAGACATCAAGATAAGTTCCATGAACTATCTCTTATCAAAATGATAATGGAAGACGTAGGCCTCTCCCCTTACTCTCCCCTTCTTTAGAAGTCAACCGTCAACGTATATCATGCTACCCTTTAATTAGCTGAATTCAAACATTTAGGGAGTGTTTGCAACTGCTTCTGTTTAAAAAAAAACACTTTTGGAGATGTAAGAAAATAGTGATTAGTAGTAAAAGTTGATATTGTTTGAGAAAAAAGTGATTTTGAAAAGTAAAAGTTGGCAGTGTTTGGTAAAATAAGTGCTTTTTGTGTAATAGAAAAGGGAAAAACATTTTTCACACTCAAGCCGAGAAAAAGTAAAAATTGGTAGTGTTTGATAAATAAGTTGTTTTTTAAGCCATAAGCTAAGAAGTGCTTTTTTTAAGTTGTTGCAAACACTCTCTTAGTTGATAACATGCTTTTATTTTACTGTAATAAATACTACCTCCGTCCCGAATTGATTTGCAAATTTGACTTTTCTTGGTCAAACAGTTTCATTTTATTCGCTTAATTAGGATGTTAATTTTTAATTATATTTTAATTTGAAGTTTGCAACTTTAAAGAGCTTTTAATGTAGTTTCTGAATATGTAAATTTTAATTATTAAAAATTGAATTAATTATCAATAAAGAGCATTGACTTTTAATATTGGTTGTCCAAAAAATATTGACTTTGCAAAACAAATTGGGACGGAGGGAGTACATGATTAGGCATTGTGTGGCGCGTGATTAATGTAAAGAAGTTTCAAAAATTAATGTTCTATCATCTTATCTTACATTTTTTGATTTTTTCTGGTATTTCGTGAAGATTTAACATTTTATAAGTTCATCACAACTATGACTCAAACATCAAAAACAGTAGAAGGTGAGGATAGAGGGGTTGTTGGGAGAAGAATAAGAAGATACATCAAGTCATCAAGGACTTCATGAAGGACACGATCAATATAACTTGATGAAAGTATTGCTAAAGTTACTTCTATCACTACAATGGTGGACTCGGGCCGGGTGGCCTGACCCGGAACCGGCCTGGTACTGTTGGGCCCGGCCCGAACCGGTGGCCCGGCCAGGGACCGGTCCGGGTATGCCCGGCCTGGGGGGTTTTCCGGTGCGGCCGTGCAGGCTTGGGTCATGTAAATAAGGAACCGGCCGGGCCGGGCCCAGTTCGGGCCATTTTTTTTTTTGTTTTTTCAATTTTTTTAAAACCTGGGTTGGGGCTGGATATTCTGGGCCATTTGGGGTGGTTTGGGGGGGTGGGGGTGAGGGGGGGTCGGGGGTTAATTAGGAAAAGGAAAAAAATAGAAATTGGTCTGAGGCCCAGCCCGTCCCGGACCCGGCGGCAACCCGGGCCGGTCCCGGGCCTTCCCCCAAACACAAAAGGTCCGACCGGACCTAGGCCCGGCCCAGGCCCGAACCGGCCCGGCTCCACCCCTATATCACTATCATACTTTTCTATTACATTTATTTAGTCACACATTCGTCATTATTCATAATTATTATTACTAACAAAACAACAAATTTACAATTGAAACAAATTTTAAGCAAAAGCAGTTTGTTATTGAAGCAGAACTTATTTTGCTTCAATATTTTATTTTAGGGAAAACTGTCAAATAGGTCCTCGAACTTTCATTAAAAGGTCAATTGAGTCCTTCTATAGGAGGTTTTGTCCGGCCGTCGCGATTTGGGACAGTTCCCGGTGGAATTTTTTGATGAATTTTTTTGAGCATCTTATTCACCAAGTCTAGTTTATTCATACCAAATGTTACCTAAAAAATCAATCGGGAACACATTCAAATTAATTCTTGAATATAACTGCGCATTTTTGCGTTCTCGAATTAATTTGAATGCGCTCCCGATTAAATTTTTAATTGAAATTTGGTATGATTAAACTAGGCTTGATGAATAAGATGCTCAAAAAAATTCATCAAAAAATTCCACCGGGAACCGCCCCAAATCGCGACGACCGGACAAAGTCTCCTATAGAAGGACTTAATTGACTTTTTTAAGAAAGTTCGAGGACCTATTTGACAGTTTTCCCTTTATTTTATACGTACTACAATACTACACTACTACATATAAAAACCTCTTCGAAGTTCCCACCACGCATGATCTCACGAGGAGGGCGCCGAGCTGCCGACTGAGACACTACACTAGTGTGTACCACCGACTTAACCCTAAAACCTCGTCAATCACCATCACCTTTTGAAAAAAAATTGCTTACATAAATATAGCACATTTCATATAGCAGTTTTCTGCAATTAGATATAAAGCCTACCCAGCTTAAATTACATTACAGTACACATGAAACAGCAGATCTTGATCCCCTCCCAAAAGAATAAGGGATTCTTGTATGAATGCTAACTCCAGTTTCCTTTCCGAAGCCTCAACCAATACTGCAAAAAATGCTGCAACTTTATCCAACTCCCAAGAAAATCGTTCTCTTGAGTTCAGCATATCATTTTCCGATAAGCTTATAGTATGCATATAGACCGGATCCAGTGAAACCAAGAAGCTGCCCAATAACATTCAACTGGAAATACAGTGGAAAGGACTTGTTATTACAATTGTTTTTGCTGTTATTATTATCATAGCATATGTTAGCTTAAAATGTGATAAATCTACAGGAATGTACACACACAAGATTATATATTCTCACCAAATCAAATGGAAGACCTCCAAAGACCATCCATCCAAGTGAAATAGTGAAAAGGTCCTACACAAGCAGAACATTTGACAAGTTATTAACCATATCGCCTCAGGATGGATTTTTTATTCAATGGATCATGGATAGATTGAATTGTTTTAAAAAAATGAATCAGTCTAAATTGATTCCATCACGCACAATTTTTTTAATCCCATTAGTTCCAATTAAAAAAGATTAAATTGATTGATTTCAGTCTATCCATTGAAATCCCAAGAAAAAGTTATTCAGTCCATCCATTTGTCACGCTTAGGATCTGTATGGATAAAATGTAATGGAAGGGGAGATTTTGGATGGCTTGGTCTGTATTATGTTATTCCTTCAATTTTTATAATATCTCAGTTTTATATAACAGGCTCTTAGTTGCTCGCAGTGCGACGTGCAGCATATAACTCTATTAGTATAGGTAAATGAACCTTCATATTCCCACAGATTGTCTGCGTCACTGCGGAATTCAGTGTGGTGTTCAGGAATATACAATAATTCAAGAAGAAGGCCAAAATACAGGATAAAAGCAATATAACCTGCAAGGTAATACCCTAACATCAGTTCAAATACATGACATAACTACTCTCTATGCACAAACAAAATTATAATGAAAAGAAAATAAAGTTGGAGGTTAAGAGCATGGCCCTCAATGGATTTGTTGCATGGCATTTATAACATATTAAGATCAGTTTTACAAACTAGACTCAAATGAATATCTATCATGTTTGATGTGTCCTTGAGCAGTAAGCTATACCATACCAGGAAACCAGGTGAAAGCAAATATGGAAAATTAAGAGTTTCCCCCAAGTCGCCCCTGACAAGTGTCCAGATAAGTAAGAATGGAACACAAACAACCCCTGTAAGAGAAACAATTGACATCAAATATAACCATGACTGTTGAGTATTGTACATCGGTTGTCTATTGGGTTTGAGTCTACTATGTGTGAGCCTGTGAGGTAAACATCACCTCTTGGGAATTTTTTTGGGTGAGGTTGACCCTATTTAACATGAAATCAAAGCATGGTCTGATTGTGGTTTGTAGGATAGCGCATTTGGGGTCTGTTTGAGCCCCTTTGTTCACTGTTAGTTGATCAACCTGTTATATGCTGAGGAGTGTGCTGAGTATATCTCGCAATGGTTATTTTATGGGTTTGAGTCTCGAGTATATATGATGAGTTCATCCTCACTTTTTGAGGATGAACGGTATATAATTTGGGGCGAGGTAAGCTCAATTTAACAATGATCAACTATTATGTTCCATCTCAAAATGAAGATTGGTGAGCAACTGAATAAGGTAATCAAAGGATAGCAGTACCATTACACCACATGAGACCGAAGCTATTAAGCCCGCTTGATTTTCCTGGTTGGATAGAAAGTATCAGCAAAATTACATGTGAGAAATTGCCCGGAAAGTTAGCAAATGAAAGAGGTTATTTTACCCATGCGTGCTATGGTTGCAAGGTATATAGCAGTTGTGATGTTGGCTATGAAAACAGCAAGATAACCATAAAAATCAAATGACAAGTCACGAGCTCCCGCAACAAATGCACCAAAGACAATCAATGCCACACTGATACATCCATTAGTTAAATTACAAAATTAGAGAGTTAATGGTTATGCTAAAAAGCATCACATATATCATAGGATAGATGAACCATATCCGAGCGTCTTCTCAACAGTTACTTCTTTCCTAAGTTCACTAACGGATACAATCGTTGCAATTGAGTTGCATCATTACTTCTACGGCTACTCCGTAATATGCAGGGCCGGCCCAGGGCGTGTGCCACTAGTACAGCCCAATAGGTAAGATCGTATGCTTCATTGAAAAATTTTAAGACCAAGGGGTTTCGAACCCTGGCATGATTCTTAGGCGTGCGGATGCTCAACCAGCTCAACTATTTGGTTGATGCTAACATTCTTCGAATTTGCTTTTTTATACTACGTATCATACAACTATTGATATAACTCATAAGATTTTAAGCCCTATACCATCAACTACAATTATTGATATTAATTTGTAATCATAATAATAACTATTTTTTATTTCATGCCATCATTAAATTAAAAAACTATTAGATATGTATGAAATATTCATTACGTCTATCGATTATATTTATATTTTTTTATATAAATATTTCTTTGCAACTTATCCATTTAATTCCAAACAATCAAACACATCTTAAATTTATGAATTCTATTTTAGATAATGATACATTAATTTTCAATTTAATCTTATAACATTATTAAATTTTGAATGAAAGTTATAATATCTTCTATTTTTCAATATACGTTGACTCGGTTGACCCATCGTTGATCGGGCTGACCCTCCCGGGTCCGGTTTGACCCTTGACCCGGTCGCTTGTCCGAGTCGCCTCCTTATCCGGTTTTGATAATATAGCTTATTTGGGCGTTTTCAATTCGGAGCCAGAACGCTCTTCCCCAAAATCCGGCCACACACACACACCCATACGATATGCCTTTTTCTTCAATTAATGGAATGATAATCTGTCTAATTATAGGTTTGATTATTGTCTTTTGTTTTATAAAATACGAAGCAATAATCTTATTTCTTATATTTTGTAATTCTTATATTATTCTTTTTTGGGTTTTAATTTTGAGTTTGAATGCTTTAGTACATAGATAATTATATTTGGATGGTTTGTAATAATTGAACTTGGCGAATCACCAGGGCAAGTTCAGGTTTTAGGTTATTAGTCTATTAATTTATAATTCAATTTAACAAATAAATGGAGTGTATTTTGTTAAGGAGTACTTTTATTTTAACTATTATGTTAGTGAATAACTTGTATTTTGATACAAATTATTATTGTAGCAAATTATTACAATATATAATATTCACTTATATTACTACGTATATTTTTACCTATTTTTAGGAAAAGGCCCACTTTTTATTATTTGCATAGGTCCGTATTTTCTCAGGACCTGCCCTAGTAATATGTATTTTACTAATATTCATATGTAGGTTTAATTTTTACTATTAATTATTTATTTAATTATTTTATTAAAAAATAAATGTAATATATATCAATATCTTAAAAACTTTATAGTTTATCTTGAAATTAATTAACATATGTACCCATGCCATACATTTTTAGGATTTTCCATTTTGGTGTACCTGATTACCTTCTACAGTACTCACAAAATTCATTTTCCATGTCTTTTTAAATAAATAAAAAATCCATTCTGGTAGCTTACAAAACATTTAATACGAAGTATGCTATTTGCATTTACCAAAACTGCATATTATACATAACATCAATCATAATTAAAAGAGAGTTAAACAAAAGCTAAGCATATGAACATACCTTCCAACAATAGTGCGTGTGTACCTCTGCTTTGCAAGAATATACTCCATCATCATAGTAAACACAACGGTTGTCCTCCTGAGAGTAGTATACATTGGCACATTTACTCCCCTAACAGACTCCATGGTGACTAACTTTCAAGGAGAACCAGATAAGAAAAAAGTGGTGTTCATTGACGACGAAATATTTATAAATAATATATATACATTAAAATATTAAGCTTAGATGAAACCTGTACCATATAAATGAGATAGGTAACAGCCAGAGGTAGAGTATTAATCACTGTCTTTAAAGGTACTAAGGATTTGGAATTATCAGGTATGGTTGGGGATTCGGCCATATGAAAAGATATAAGTTTCCATTGCCGTAAAAGGTAGAGAAAGCAAGATGAACATATCATCTGCACCAGACAACCAAGAAAAAGAAGATAGAGAAAAATCAATTATAAAACATGCAGTGAAAAAAATCAGAATCACATAAACTGCTACCCGAATCAACAGAAAATGTCCAGATTAAGAAGTACGAAATCTACAATTTACTTTTCAAACCCATAAAATCTGTAACTATACAAGGATTATAGTGCCATTAATGAGCACATTAAACCAAGCACAACAATAAGTACAGCCATAAAACATTAGCATATTGATCTACAATCTACTTTTCAAATCCTACAGTTCGATCTAAAGTTCTTACGAAAGCTGACATTCATTTCTGCAACTTTTATGCTTCCCAGAAATTAAGGAAGGTAAAGGGTGTAGTTGGCATATCTCAATCCCACCAAACAAACCAACGGTGCAACCTTCATTCATGGGGTTGGTTGGTGTTTGGCTCAATCAGTTCAAGAATGGTAAATTCTGATAGAAAATTATTGATCTAGAACAAATTTACTTTTGCTTCCGCATTCGGAGTTCTGGACATTTGCAATTAGGCCAAACATTAACCTCATTTTTTCAAACCCTAATACACTAGTATATAAGATTCAGATTCATTACCAATTTACCCCACTAATCCTTGCCTGATTACATACAAGGAGTACCTAAAGGAAAGCTATCGAAACAATGTCTATAGACTGAAAAAGGGGAAAAATCTATCAAAAGAAAGATTCCAATGTCTGTCTCTTCAGTTATTGGTTAGGCTGTTGTGTTTCTTAATTGTATCATGTTGATTTCAATTTAAAAAATAGGTCTCTCTTCATGACTCTTGTTTCCCCGTGTTCCTTATATATTACATTGCCTTAAGCTAAAAGAATCTTTTGCAGAACAGATTTTTTCTTACTCGGAAGATGCTTTTCTTGGTCATGCTTTAGAGAGTGAGAAGGGGCTCATAGCCTCCTATTTCATTAATGGAGGATGTATGGGATTCTGACACAAATAAGGAAATTGTTTTTACAAAGCTAGGCTCGTCAGGAGGGATAATTGCTTGCCTATTGAAAATTTAAACACTCAAAATAAAATATACCAAAAAAACATCATAGGTCACATCTCATGAGGACCAGATTTCAATCACGTATGAAGTTATTCCGCATTGACTAAGTTCTTAGGGTTTCTCGGGAGGGGTTCTTATTGTTATGCGGGTAGGTTGCTGTACTTTCCTTTTTCTTTCTTGTATTTCCTTTACATTCTATGTGTACCTTACCTTGCTCTCTTTAATAAATTTTCTTTTCCATTACAAGAAAAACTAAAAGAAGCTTATTCAAATTCATTAGACTTCTGAGTTCAATTAAGTAATACATTTGTAAATGACTAAGATACCTGAAACATCTGAGCTCTGGATTATGACATCATAGTATCATACACGTAGGTGGGAATAATCAAAGCATAAATCACTTCAACTGGAAAGATTAATCACGTGTTACATATCAGCACCGGAAGATAGTAAATTTTGGAGACCGTTCAATTTTTACTGATCTGATTACATTCACTTATAAGAACCCAAAGTTCTTGATTCAGCTATTGGAATATACTTAGAGCTCTACTTTAGTAGAGGAAGAAGCATATTGACATAAAATTTGTTCCTTAATTTTAAAAAATGAGACTTCAATATAATAGAGCAAGCACAATCCAAAGTTTCTTCCATAAAGAAGGGTAATAAAGTCAAAGTTCACTTGATGAAATTATATGCATTAAAGCATCAAAAGGGTGTAAAACGAGATCACATCAATGGAATAGACAAAGCTTCTCCGGGGAATCAATTTTCAGTGATACCTGACATAGTGTGATCACGCTTGAGGATGGGAAATTGTACAAAGAGAGAGCTGCTTTGTTGAACAACACCAGCAGAACTGCAAATTCAAAGAAATTAAATTCTAAAACTCCAGCCGTCAGATAAGGTAAATCAATAAATTCATGACTAAACATAACCTTGAATGCAAAAGAAAAGCTCCCACCATGAAATTCGACATCTTTTTCAAATTCGAAAAAATGAAAAGCAGAAGGAATTAAAATTTGGACAGGCCAAAGGAAGAAAATATACCGGCGCAGCACATGTAAGAGACGGCAGCTAAAGCTCCACGCTTCGTCATGGAGGACCCTTTGAAGAGTTTATCCTCCGTCGATCTTTCCGCCGGAGAAGAATCGGCGGTCGTTATCGGCAGTGGTGCAGTATTCTTTAGCAAATGCGAAGAAGCCATTGTTACACTGCAGATCTCTTCTGCTGTCTCGGAATATATATATTATTTTTCAATCAATAATTCGATGCATGAATGGATAAGCACGGCGTTTATGCAAAGTCACATTTAGAGTGCGTTAAAGGCTCCTAAAGAGAGACCAATTCAAATCCTATGAATTTTCATACACTTCGGTGTGTTGAGGCTGAGTCCGCCCGGCAGCACTTCGTTCGTACATCACGGGTTTTTCCATTTCATAGATTCGACTTGCGAGATTATTCTCTGAAGCATGAGCATAGGACGTGTCATATTTTGTTAAACCTGTTTTTAATTGGGTTTGAAATACTTTCAAACTAGATAATATCAAACCACAATAAACCAGCCCAGAATCAAATAGATCATATAGATTAGAAGAGATTATACTAGTCATACAAGTACATAAAACAAACATTTATTAGATCATGCTGGACTAATTCAGATCAAATTAAATTTAAACAAGCTAGACCAGAAAACTAGGTAAAATTAAAACATTATGAGATTGCAATTTTTTTTTTAAATGATCATGAGACTGCAATTAAAACTATAAATTACTTATGCTCAGTACTAGGACTAAAGTATAGCTCTAAGGATGTTTTTACTTGGACTGTAATTTGCTGGTTTGGTCTGGTCTGGTCTGGTCTGGTCTGGTCTGGTCTGGTCTGGTCTAGTAAGGTCTGGTTTCTTTGTATTTTTATAACTATCCAAGTCTGGTCTGGTCTGGACTGGTCTGGTCTGGTCTGGTCTGGGACAAATTACAGTCCCTTATAACTTTGTCAACTTTTCTTTTTTGGATGTCTCATTAACTTTGTCACTTTCCCATTTAAGTAAAGAATTTGTGGTTCCAGTTAATTCTCTCTCCTTTGCACAAACTTCAACCACACATTTATTAATCCCCGTGCCGATCAAACTTGGTAAAGTTATAAAGGACGGAGGGAATATATATTACAAAGATGTAAAACAAAATGTATTATATTTGTAAGGACTAAAAATATATTTTAATCAACATGTAAAAGAGTTGAAGAGCTGGGGGCATCAACATAGGCATGGAAGCGGTGCTTAGTGTGCCAAAAAAAACGAGAGGTAGGCGAGCTGCTATACGAGGGCTCACATTACTGATAAGGTCTTTTGAAAGTTGCGGAGCAAAAGGGATGGTAGCAGACCAGATGATTTATCTAGTTATTTGTATTTGCACTAGTATTAGATTTATTCCAAGTACTTGGGGGAAAACTTATGTGAGCCGTGGTTTTCAAGCTCCTACTCTTGCAAACTTATGTGAAATGTTGGTGAAAACAAGAAAGGTCGAGGATTTTAAAATGATTCCAAGATTGATACATCTTGTATTAACATTACCAGTTATTATGGTCACAATTGAGAGAGCATTTTCAGTGATGAAGCATGTCAAGACTGCAATTCAAAATACGATGGATCACGATTTTCTCGGCGATAATATAACAATTTTTATTGAAAGAGAATTTGTTAGCACAATAGATATAAATTCTGTTATCGACGAGTTTGCCAAAGTAAAAGATTGCCAAGTGCAATTAACTTTGTAGCAATTAACTTTTTAGACGAGTTGAGAGGTGAGGAAAGAAAGCAGGTTGGCGGATTGGCGGGGGAGGGGAAAACCCAAACAGACTTGAATTAGAGCAATAAAAACTGATATGCTTCTTCTTGGGTTAGATGAAAGTATGCTTTGCAGAGAGCAAAGTGGAGGGCGCATATACGCGTGGACGATTGATCTCTTCTCTTCCTTTATCTCTTTTATCCTTTATCTACCTTATGTTCTTATGTTATTTTTATCTTATCCATCTTATCATACCTTATATTTTTCCTGGATGTTGTTTTTGTAACAACTTTTATGTAAAATTTGGTTAGTTTTATTATTTAATATATATTTGTTACTCCGTAAAAACTTTGTCTTGAGCTCTAGCCACCCTTCTTTGTTGTCCTGGCTACGCCCTTGCGGTGGTTGATAGATTGGGAGAAAGTATCAAGACCGTATATGTCGATAATTGCTTCGAAATCTTTGCATGTTCACCGAAAAGTTTTGTTCAAATTTGAAAAACTTTTCTACGTTAGATCAGAGAGTGAGAGGACCTGTTTGTTTTTATGAATCCAGTGAGAGGGAAGGGTTTAAGTGATAGTTTAGATGTAAGGATTGTGATTTTTATTATATTAATACAAACGATTTACGTTTTTTTGCGTTAAAAAAAAGATGGACAATAATATTAGTGGTTCTAATATAATAAAAATTTATAAGAATAATTTACCTCTGCATCCTACTTTTGAGAACATTTGGATATGGTATTATATTTTCACAAAACCTAATGTGCGCTCTCCATTTGTTAGATAGTGGACTGAAGTTTTTATTGTTAACCAATGAAGTTTTCACTCTTTTTTAAAGTTTTGGTGCAAAGTCAAATTTTCTAATTTTTTAGGAATATTTGAGTGTATATACAACCTTAAATATGTGCAGTTAAATTTATGTCATATATCTGTATAAACTAGACAAATAGCCTAATTACCTTATTTAAATGGATAAAAACAGATGGTTGCATAAGTTAACTATAATTATGTCACCTCACATTAACTACAAAAGTGTTATGCACTTAAAAAACATAATATAGGTTATTAATTTGTCGTCTCATATTTATTTAAGCTATATAGCCATTTAACCCTTTTTTATAGAAAATATTATGTGTCGTTATGTTGCTTATTATATGAGGAATGTTTTTTCCTAAATTATTTTTAGTCACAGATTAAATCAGACTTAAACAGACCGGACTAGATTAGACCAGAATTAAACAAACTAGACCAGACCAGACTAGATTTCGATAGTTGCAAAATACACAGAGACCAGAAATTTATCATACCATTTTATATCAGACCAGATCAAACTAGACTTAAACTGATCAGACGAGATCAGGCCATACAATTTTAATCTAATTAAAAACATCCTATGTACTAACATTATTTAATCACTAGTTTTCAAGCTCGTGCAATGCACAAACAGTATGAATTTTAGCTAATTTTAAATTTGATTTTTTCGGGATCATATATAATGTGATGCAACAACAAAATGAATTCAATCTAATATAGAATTTGTTTGATAATACTAAAATTGGTCGAATTAGCTTATTTTGCTGAAATTGATTAAATTCTAGTTGAATGAGCTGAATAGGTGGAATCTCCCGAATCATGGAAAAAATATGTAAAATATATTCCATTTGTAAAACAAATAAAAAGTTATATGAAAATAGTTAAAAGGGAAAATTGTCAAATAGGTCCTCGAACTTTCATTATAAAGTCAATTAAGTCCTTATTTAGGAGACTCTGTCCGGCCGTCACGATTTGGGGCGGTTTCCGGTGGAATTTTTTGATGAAATTTTTTGAGCATCTTATTCATCAAGTCTAGTTTATTAGTATCAAATTTCAGCTAAAACTTCAATCAGGAAAGCATTCAAATTAATTCTTGAAGATAACTGCTCATTTAAGTGCACAATTATCTTCAAGAATTAATTTAAATGTGTTCCCAATTGAAGTTTTAGCTAAAATTTGGTATGAGTAAACTAAACTTGATGAATAAGACGCTAAAAAATTTTCATCAAAAAAATCCACCGGGATAAGCAAAAAATCGCGACGGCCGGACAGAGCCTCCTAAATAAGGACTTAATTGACTTTTTTTATGAAAGTCCGATGACCTATTTGACAGCTTTCCCTTTTAACTATTTTAATATAACTTTTTATTTGTTTTACAAATGGAATATATTTTACATATTTTTTCCATGATTCGGGAGATTCCACCTATTCAGCCCATTCAACTAGACCTGCACAAACGCGGGCTCGGGCCGGGCTTATTCTAAAAAATCTGCCCATTTGTAGTGGGCGGGCCCGGCCCGGTACAACGGGCCTCCTCATATGTCCAAGCCCGCCCAAAAGAGCGGGTCGGGCTGCCCACCGGGCTTTCGGGCCCAGAAAAATTATCCTCTTTCTAATTTTTTTTTTTAAAAATCGTAAACGTTTGTAAAATACTTTTAGGAAATACACACACGTTTCTGAAAAATAAAAACCATTCAAATTTAGAACTAACATCAGTATTTAAAAATTTAATCACAATGTGCAAACAATAATTAAAAGTACAATAAGAATGTGCAATGAGAATAGTCAAAGCATAAAAGTATCTCAAAAGACTTGATAGGTGTCCAGTACAAAACAGTTCAAGTTTTAACTAATACGGAGTACTACTTATTGGTCCGATCTAATAGCAGTAGCTTGGCTTAGGTTTCATGTTGGCCCTTAATGATAGTAATTTTTTGTGTATATATATAAAATATAATTTATATATATAATTATATATAATATATATACACACACATTTAACGGGCCGGGCTTTTAGGCCCGCCGGGCCTATATTAGAATCCAAGCCCGCCCATAATTTAAACGGGCCCGGGCCGGTGGGCTAAACTGTATGTCCAAACCCGCCCATTTATATGGGCGGGCTGGGCGGGCTGGGCGGGCCGGGCCGGTTTTGTGCAGGTCTACATTCAACTAGAATTTAATCAATTTCAGCAAAATAAGCTAATTCGACCAATTTTAGTATTATCAAACAAATTCTATATTAGATTGAATTCATTTTGTTGTTGCATCACATTATATATGATTCCGAAAAAATCAAATTTAAAATTAGCTAAAATTCATACTGTCCGTGCATCGCACGTGCATAATATTTTACAAATGCGCAAAAAATATTTCACAACCGCACATATAAATTTTCACATGGATGTTAACCTCTCTGGTTGTATTTTATGGCGGTTGTCCATCTACGATTGTGTTTTCTAGCGACTGCCTATCTCAAGTTATTTTTCCTAATCGTGGAAATGATAATGGTGAAGGAACAAAATGAAATATTAAAGTTGGATCATAACACCCGATAGAAGATGATAACTATGGAAGATGGTGAATGTGGAAAAATGATGATGGTGAATATGGAAGATAGAATAGGAAGAAGAGTGAAAAAGGAAATAGAAAAAGAAAATTAAATGAACACGGAATAAAAGGGTAATATTTGTAGTTTATATGTGGTGTGTTATAAAATGTTCACTAACTATTGGTATTACTAAGAGCATTTTTTCCCCGGATTCAACCACACCAGGTGGGGGTGCCAGAGAACACCTCCTTAATTTATTAAAATGGAGTTAAAAGTACATGCACTGACAAATGAAAGTACAAGATAAATAAGGCCAAATCAAACCACTACATTAGCATTTGATTTTTTTGAAGGAATTTCAATTGCCACAGAGATAGATTTGTTATATCTGTTTTGAAGCTTATAATGGTCTTGTGAAGATAGGGCCTGTAGATTGTTTCCTTCGGACGAGATTGTTTGAAATGTTGTAGAGCAGCTGCGAGTTTGTGTGGGGAGTCAAACTTGGCATCGACTAGGTAGTAGAGAAAGAAGTATGTCTCATCTTGGGGTTTTTTATAGTGGCTTCTGGTGATCATTGGATGTGAAGTATACCCCACTTCGTAGTATTGCTCAACATCTTCTGTTGGGTTTCGGGCAGAAAAACGCAGCGGAATAAACGAAAATCTTACTACCCAAAAGTAAACAACCGGATCTGAGGTTCTTACTATAAACGAAATTACAAGATTTAAGAGCGACTTACATAGTAATCTTAATTAAGGATGTCAGACAGTCCGAGAAAACGATCCCGAGCTCTACCGATATCCACACGCACGTGACTGGATCGGCCGCAGGGAACGTGCTAGCGTTCTCTTCTTTCTTCCTCTCTACTCTAGGCTTAAGAAGTGAATTTTAACTCTTAAAATTCGTGGGTCTATATGGCCCTATTTATAAGAGGAGGAAAGAAGGGGTTTTATAGCTAATAAAACCCTTAAAGAGGCCCTAGCCCAATACCCTTTGAAACCATATTTCGAATTGGGCTAATCAGGTTATTTTAATGTTATTAACAAACATTAATGATCCAGATCACTTAGGTGTGTGACCCTTTAGATTTATATATTATTGGCAGTGGGCTAGGAAATTAATTCGAGCCTCACAAATCATAAGCAGCCTCTAGCTAGCAAGGCATTATGACTATCCAAAATATATAAATGTCAATTAAATCTGACATAACCTTTTAATGATTAATTTGTACTAATAATTCTCTTTTGTCAAACGTAACGATATCTTAATTGAGACAAGGTTAGGTCGTGTCATCCTTGTTATTCTCAATTAATATTTCTTAGTCCAGAGACAATTAGAATATTATGTTTATTTTAAAGTGTAGCATTCCACAATTAAGTCACATACTTAATTAGCTACTAAACAGAATATTCAGGGACTTAAATATTAATAAAGAAAACTCACAATAATAATTAACATAAAATGAGTTTGTGACTTTATTAATTAATGAGCATTAAATATTTATTGATAAATCATAAACTATGATTGTCCTAGGGCATATTTCCAACATCTTCTTTAACTTCATTTGATGTGTTTATTGAGTTCGTGTTTCTGTACGTCTTTTCTTATTTCTACCCGTCGAGGAGTTCCTCTTCAATTGGGGGATAATCTGAATGACCTGAAACAGAAAAGGTTAGAACTTGTCTTCCCTAAAAAGGAATCGCATCACTGGACAATATTGTAGCAAGTGTAGTAAATGAATTCTCAAGTGTAGGATCAAAGATGATCTCATCATTCATGTTCGCTCCTCATAAGAGTCATTGGCATCATCATCACTGGTAACCAATTGATGAACACCCGCGATTACCGCCACGGAACGGGTAGCCACCAGAGGTTCGGCCGCGTTAAAAGCAAGCTTAATAGAGGGTGCAACTTTTCCAGCACTAGGGGCACCAGTTAGAATAGGGCCCAAATTACAAGCAATTGGTGAAATCTTTGGGACATCAGTATGCTTAATAGAGGGTGTAGCATCAGGAACCCAAGCATCATAAGTAGAGTTTCCAAGAATAGGGGCATGATAGGGGCCATATTTACAAGCATTAGGAATAATCTTTGGTATTACTAAGAGCATATTTGGTAGGACAAGTCATTACCTTCTAACTTTTATACTATTTAAAAAGTCTTTAAAAGTTTCTAGTTGTATGTTTGACAAGCCAAATTTTAAGAGTTTTTTTAAAAATAAAAGATTTTTTTAAGATGCTACAGTGAGTAACATGTGAGAAACGTCTGTAGCTTTCAGCATTAATTAGTCTCCTAAAAGCTTGTATATCAAATAAGGCTATGTTTGGTACAATTAGCTGAAAAGATCTTTTTGTGAGCTTTTTAGTAACTGTTAGCTTTTAATGACTGAAAAGAACTTAAAAGTAAAAGGTGGTAGCTGTTTGGTGAAAAGCTGACTGTTTGATTTAGTTCTGTTTGGCATACAAGCTGTTAGGATTTATTAAAGCTAAAAGTCACAGACTTTTCTCAGATGCTACTACCTGTAGCATCTCAAAAAAGAGTTTTTATTTTTTGAAAAGCTCTTAAAAATTGGCGTGCCAAACAAACAACTAACAACTTTTAGAGACTTTTTAAATAGTACAAAAGCCAAAAGCTATAGACTTATGTCAGCCAAACATAGCCTAAAACTAAATCAAACAATCAGCTTTTTATCAACAACTACTAATTTTTCCTTTTAAGAACTTTTGAGTCGTTAAAAGCTAAAAGTTATTAAAAAACTTATAGAAATATATTTTCATCTACTTGTGTCAAACATACCCTATAGTTAATTGTTTATACAAAGGTACCTGGTTGTCTTAGTTTGAAGAGTAGCTAGGGGTGAATGGGGGGTGGCCGGGTGGGGTAAGTGTTATGATGGGGCTCTAGATACTGAAAGCATTTTAATATAACGGGACCATTATTTGTCCATCGTGGGTATATAAAGAAAATGATGTTGTGTGTTTTAGGCCAAACATTGAAAATGAACCACTTAGCGTTTTTATAATATAAACGTAATTAGAAATTATTAGATGTTGACATCAACGGGCCATATCATGACCATGCAGTTACTTAAAACCGAAATTTCAAAGTAGTTGTATTTTTTGAAATCGTCTATGCTACGTAATTCATACGAAGTATATAACACATTATACTAGTTATTATTACATATTAGCTCAAGATTATAATTTCTTTTGAGTTAGTAATAATGAAGACTTGGGAGTTGAGGCTCATATTCTAACAGAAGTTTTGACATCAAAATTTTAGTTTTGTACTCCCTCCGATTAAAAAATAGGTTCCACATTTGACTTCACACATATTAAGAAAAGAAAGTTGACTTTACTGTGGAGTGCACTATTTGGCACTGGTTGACATTGTTTGACACTGTTTGAAACTGTTTTGATGTATATAATTTGCCAAATAAGGAAAAGTTTGAAAGTGGAACTTAATTTTGGAACTGTCCGAAAAGGAAACGTGGAACTTGTTTTTGAATCGGAGGGAGTAATTAATAGCTAATATAATTAAGGATGTTATCACACTCTTAGTTGGACTAGTTCCCGTCCAAATTAGACTCATTATATTTAAATAGATCAAATCAGATTATATTGGATCAGATTGTGACAGTAGTAAATACACATAAGACAAACATTTATCAGATTAGACCAGAAAATTTCAAATCATCAATTGAAACTAGTTTGTACTTGAACAAAGCAGACCAAATGAAATCAGAAAGTTTCAGTCCAATAGAAAACATCTTAAATCCATTTGTTCTAGTTTTTATTTCGGTGCAAATGATCTAGTTTACACATAATCATACTTTCATTTTACAAAGGTTGGCACCCATTCATTTTTATCACCAAAAAGAAATCGGAAATGAGATAAATTTGTTAGATCACTCATAGTGTTTGTCTTTATAAAGTTAAAGTGTGCCATGATCTTCAAAATTTAAGGCAAATTAAAGTCTAGATAGCAACTATGGACCACCATTATGGGTGAAGTTTCAAATCTAGTTTGGCAAAGTGTGGTGAAATAGGGACTCATTGAGCTTTACACTCTTTGAGGCAAAATGGCCAATATAAGCTTCCAAACAAAGAAGGCAATGAGAGATGAGTGCACAATAGTGGTAAAGGGAATCGACATTTCTCCTACCCGGACGGATCATGATATGTTTTTTTAACAAGGATGGACCACATTTTTGTGTTTTGTATATCAAGGGATTAACAGATTGAGCTTAATGTGCTTTTAATAATCTGATCGTACATATTGGTTATGGGCCGTTTTAATTGAATTTTCTTAATCATCTTCCAAATGTAATAAAAAATTAACTTAATGACAAATTATGACTAAAATGTATGAAAAATATTAGTAGGAGTAAGGTTGGTTTGCAGCGGAGACCGAGGCAATAAAGGTAAGATCAGAGATGATGTTTTATATGCTGCTAAGGAACTAAGGAAGGATGGTGCAATACTGAAATCGAGACAGATACCCTTATTGTGTTGCAGGGTCTTAAGCGAGGAGAAGGTTACTCTTATCTAGTTATCTTCACCTTGTTATTGATGATATCCAAAAGATTATAGAAACAAAGAATAATTTTAATAACTCTTTTTGTAAATTGTCTATGTATCGTGTTGCTCACACTTTAGCTCGAGCACATGTTTTTATCTCAGATCAGAAGGTTAGTTATGATGTTTTGATTGTACTACATTGTCAATCAAGTGTCAAACGATTTGTTGATTTAATATAGTTTTTGGGTTGATGATAAAAAAAAAGTAGTATTTTGCAAAAGTATATTACATTGATGTTCTATTTTATATTAGAGTGACTGTGTTCCTATTACAATGACAATAGTAGGAAAAAAGCCAAAAAATTATTTATCACCAGTTTGGTAAATAAATAAAAATATGACGACATAATTACATAAATATGACTAAAATAAAGATGGTTTACAAAAATGTAACTAATGATTAAAGTAGTAATGAAATTATAATAAATTATGTTAAAATTTTAAACCTAAGTTACAATGACATTACATTGTAGTAACTTTTAGTCATATTTTTGTAAATAAGTTTTATTTTAGTAATAATTATGTAAAAATCCAAATATGAATAACTCTTGCTTTATTATTTTTATTATATTATCAACGAATATGATCAACACATCGAAATAAACAAAAATTTCTTTTGTACACGTTTTTACTGTTTGCACATTTTTTACTCGCGTTTGTGAAGACAATGTTTTGTCTGTGAACAGTGTTTTCACAGAAAAAATCGTCATTCAGAGACACGTGTAAAATTGTGTAAATAGTAAAATACGTGTACTTCGCAAAGGACTCTGCTTACTAGCTTTGCAAAAATGCAAAATGCATTGGAACGAATTCTAGTTTGACCAACCACAACAAAAGAAATTTGGAGTGGCAAACCCGTCTTTACAATCGCAACAGTTCCATACCGGAAACCAATTTGATCAATAATCTTTGCATAGGATTATTGACATCTTACGGGGAATTCACCATATATTGAAAAATGAGTAAAGAAAATCCAAACTCCCACCATAAAAAGATATGTTTAATTTTGGATATAGGTTATTGGACCATAGTGACTTTTAACGGTTTAATTTGTAGGAGACTAACCACTCCTCATACATAACTAATTATTAAAATTCCGCACTTGTTCAGTAGAATTTTCAAGAAGACAAGTTTGAACTATTATCATCGAACTAAACGTAAATAAATTTACCTTAGTGGTCAAAAAGTAAAAACGAAAAAGAATACATTTTGGGATTTAAAATGATATCAATTGCAATAGCACAAAAGCAATTACCACTAGTTTTCTTTTTGCCCGTAGGAAATAATCTAAGACTATTTCAATGGGCTAAGAATATGGTGTAATCATTTGACAATCATTTGACGTAAATTTGAGTCGCTCGAACAATCTGTTATACTTTAATCCTCATCTTATTTTCACCCTCATCTATGTACCACCACCACGCAGTTCACACACATGAAGTCATTCTTAAATCTTAACTGATTGATTGCACGTGTTCTCAACATAACTCCCGCGTGAACCACAATTCATTGATTCAAACACTATCATGTTCCCAACAAGAATCTAAAATCTTAGCTTGCACCTAAGGCCAGACAATGCAATTTTGCAATTGCTGGAGTAGCCACGACTCAAGAGGTAGATGATAAATGAGAAAAGTCTCTCAAATTCACCTCTTTAATTACTTAAAAAAAGGATGACACCCCATCCCTGAGGGCCTCCCAACACCGACCAGACAGCAAGATGGGAGGATGTAAATTGGACTATAATCACAACCTCTTTAATTACTTGAATTCAAGACTTCACACAAGAAGAAGCCCTTAAGTGTGGGACGTGATCCACTTGAATCACTCTCACTTATGACCTGTGAAACAATATCTCTCATAAATATACCCTCACATTAATTTTAACTAAAAAGATCACACACATTAACATCTAATCTCAAATTTGTAGAATTAATCTTATGCTTCAGAACTCAACTCTAACTCTTGTGGGAAGTAAATTGTGACTAGTTCCTAAAATATGTCGGACTCCTAGCACTGAATGTCCATTTCCGTGCGCAGAGAGCCGACTTCATTAATTAAGTGCAACACCGACTCACAACGAACATTCCAAGCCACATGATCTAAAATTTCCCTAATTCAAAATTTTTAGTTACTTAAATTCAATTTTTTCTGATTATAAAGGATTTTAAATTTAAGGTATGATCCAAAGTTGAAAATGTGTTGATGAATTAAGTTGAGTCATCACATCTAACTCTTTTTTGTATTAAGGTCGGCCGACATATAAGCTACTCATGAAAATTAAAATAAAGTATCGATCTAAATATTTTGATTATAATTAATCCAAACCAAACCCATTTCTCTACCGCCTTCTAACCATATGCCAAATATTCTAAATTCGCATAATTTCCTCTTTGAAGTTTCAATGCAAAACAATTGTAAAAATAATAAAAGGAACTGTAAATAAGCTATATAAAAAAATATATTGTGTCAAGTCTTTCTTTTTGTTTTTTTTATATGAAAATAATATCGTTTCAATACATATTAATTCTTTTAAATCCTCACAAAATTTTAGTTTAGGTATAAAAAATTACTCTGTATAAAAGAGCTTTTATGATATATCACATAAAAGGATTTTTTAATTGGACTAAAAATTTCCTTTCAAAAAAATCTGAACTAAAATATTATAGCCTAATTTGTCCTGATCTGTTATGATATACTACATCCGTCCCATTCTTATAGCAAAACAGCACTATTATTTAGACAATGATTAAATATGTTAATTCGAGTATATTTTGAGAAATAATTTTGATGAGTATATATATATATATATATATATATATATATATAATATAGGAGGTTATAAATGTATTAGTGTTGGTATTTTGTTAAGATCCAATGTTTTATCCTAAAAGGTCAACCTAGTAGGAGGAGTATCTCAGATCTTAATATAACACATTGTTGGTTCAAACTTTTCCGGTGTGGAACTCTAACACCCCTCCTCACAACCAGACACTTTGTCTGGATCGTGCCGCCCATTCATTTTTTTCGTCGATTCGTCATTATCATTTTTTTTATAATCGAGTCGTCATTTTTCATAAGAGGACCCACACACCATGGATCAATTTGTCTCTAATACCATGTTAATATCTAAGGTTCCATCTTAAAAGGTCAACTTAATCAGAGGAGTAGCCCGGATCTTAATATAGCACATTGTTGGTTTAAACTTTTCCGTTGTAGGACTCTAACATATTTGATGATTAAATAGTTTTTTAAGAGTATTAATTGTTTTCTAAAATAGAAAATGATAACCTTTAATTGGGACGTCTAAAAAAAAAGTGAGACTACATATTTA